CTGCCTCCCAACCCCCAGCTGATCAGGAGGAAATGGGGATTTTGCAGTAACCTTCCCCTGGATTTGGGACGGAATGGAGATCCTCCCCATGCCATGCCCATCAAGCCACGCCCACCAATCCAAGCCACGCCCACCAAGCCACACCTACAGAACTGGTAGTAAAGAATTTTGAAACCCACCACTGAACTAGCTGCATAACTATATAGATATACTCTGTGAACTGATAGGGATCTTAGCTCTCTTCCTGCCTACAAATTTTCCAAACTCCACTGGAAACATCCTCTCCCTCCTGGGACTCTAGACTACATTCCACTACAGCCACAATTGGAGAATTATTCTATTCTAATTTCAGGATAAAGAATTTCATTACTAGTACCTGATGCTATCAGATGTCTTTTTATATTATTTTTAGACTGTACACTATCCAGGATCTTAGGACTGACAGTATAGAAAGCTTTAAAATATATGAATGCATGCACAACATCCAACATCTTGCCATTCCAAGCCCAATCTGATGCAGGCTTGTTAAAAATTCAACTGAAAGTATTAATTTAAAAGGGTAGCTTGGGGCTAGATTATTTCCCCCTATATTTTCCATCTAGAGACAGATGTCGTCTAAATTCCCTCTTCAGCTGGTCTTACCTAGTCATGGGAAGAGGAGGAAAAAGTGGAGGAGGGGGAGAGGAAGAGTGGAGGAGGAGGAGGAAGAGGAGGAGGAGGAGGAGGAGGAGGAGGAGGAGGAGGAGGAGGAGGAGGAGGAGAAGCAGAAGCAGGAGAAGGAGAAGGAGAAGGAGAAGGAGAAGGAGAAGGAGAAGGAGAAGGAGAAGAAGAAGCTGCTTTTGGTGTTGGCACCCCATCTGTAGAATACCTCTTCCAGAGAAACACACCTGGCACTTATAATACAGAGATTACCTGATCTCCCCAAGCATTTGTAGCACCACTTAATTGACTAGGGGCTTTATTGCTTTTACCACTTTTCCATGGGATGCATCTAGAGGATCATTTGCTCAAAAGAGGGCAGATGATGAAAATTTAGACAAGCGCTGTGACTCACATGCATGCATCAAAAGAGCCGAACATGCATCATGCCATTGCAATGCTGCTTTCGTTATTTTAATAGTTCTGCGGATGATGTTGCTTTCCAGTCATTCCTTGTGCTGCATAGCTGCTTTTATCAACTGGGATATTCTCCAACTCCCCTTTTAAATATTTGCATTGTATCAGTAGATGCACACATATGGAAAGAAACTCTCTTTCTCACACTCACACTCACACACACACACACACTCACACACACACGTCTAATTTGATTTAAGTGATGGCATATCTCTTCATGGGTGGTCTGAAACTACAAAGAGTAAACAAATAACATCTGGGTGAGTTCTTTAATAAGACATGTCTTAAAAGAAGTGTGAAGAGAGCTTCCATCCTTCCACCAAAAGCAAAGATCCAGACATCATTCAGTACTGAATTCATAATTGATTACATTTTCAGCCCAAGCTTGCCATACACTTTATCAGTAATGATTTAGTTTAACCCAGCTTGAACTGTAAACAAAACTAGCACATCCTGGATCATCATTTGTTTGTTTATGATGCTCATATGTCAACCATTCCCAGTTTTAGGTGATAAACAATGTCAACAAATATAATAACCCTCAATCCAAATTAGTAACCAATGCAAATTCTGAAGCAGCAATGTCATCTCACTATTCTCTTTCTCTCTCTCTCTCCCTCTTCCTCTCCCTCTCCCACCTCCTATCCATCTATCCATCCAATTTAGAATCCTCACAGAGGGATGTGCAATACACTCACTGCAATACACACATTGTTCCTCGGCTGCCACATTTTGTACCAGCTACAGTTTCCAAGTGTTTTGCGTGGACAACCCCAAGTAAGCCATTTTTCGTTCATCGAAAAAAACAGAAGTAACTCAACCATGAGTGACTGTGAGCAAGTTTGACAGTCCACTAAAGTTCACAATTGACACAAAAGATATAATAGCACAAGAGCTCTTTTATCCATATTTGTCACCTCCTTCTGAAACAGGAATTAGAAGTTACACAATAATGTCTCAAGCTCTGGACCACTTCTGAATGGCGGAATTTGGTGATGGAATTGTCCTAGAATGCTTAAGCCCACAACACCAAAACCATTTTATTTTGAAGAATGAAATTTTGTTCTTCGTCATCCAGATCCTGAGAGCTTCTAACCACTGGATCAGTACTTTCATAGGCTTCCTGTTCAACCCAAGATAAGTAAAAGCTGGGTATCATTTGCGTATTGATGACACCAAACCCTTTCTTAACGGATGTCCTCCTCCAAGCAGTTGAATGTTAAAGTGAACTGTAGTGAAAAGCCAACACAGTTCTAGGCTGCATAAACAGAGGGACAGAATCAAGATCACATGAAGTGTTAATACCACTTTATAATGCCTTGGTAAGGCCACACTTGGAATACTGCATTCAGTTTTGGTCACCACGATGTAAAAAAGATGTTGAGACTCAAGAAAGAGTGCAGAGAATGGCAACCAAGATGATTAGGGGACTGGAGGCTAAAACATATGAAAAACAGTTGCAGGAACTGGGTATGTTTAGTTTAATGAAAAGAAGGACTAGAGAAGACATGATAGCAGTGTTCCAATATCTCAGGGGCTGCCACAAAGAAGAGGGAGTCAAGCTATTCTCCAAAGCACCTGAGGGCAGGACAAGAAGCAATGGATGGAAACTAATCAAGGAGAGAAACAACCTAGAACTAAGGAGAAATTTCCTGACAGTAAGAACAATTAATCAGTGTAGCAACTTGCCTCCCAAAGTTGTGAATGCTCCAACGCTGGACGTTTTTAAGAAGATGTTGGATAACCATTTGTCTGAAATGGGGTAGGGTTTCCTGCCTAAGCAGGGGGTTGGACTAGAAGACCTCCAAGGTCCCTTCCAACTCTGTTATTCTATTCTATTGTAGAGAGGACAGAGTCCTACAAAGCAGAGGTCTCCAGGATGTTCTCTCCTCGCCATTGCTACTGACTGGAACTGACCCTTCAGTAGGAGAAAAATAATTGCAAGATATTCCCCCCCCCCACACACTATCATGTTTTGAGTAATAAAACAGTGTGATCTTCTGACTATGAACCTCCAATTCCAGTCCACTTCAATTCACTGATGTCTAACATGTCAATATGTAGCAAAGTCATTTGTCATTGTGTTGAGCGTTCCTATCTTCAAGCTTGTTATATTCTATCTTCCTGCTGTTATTCAGTCTTTGAGTCTTCAGGTTTTCTTTTCTTGCATGGCATCTTCAGCAACTAGACATCCCAAAGGCTTTAATCTAGACATGTCATAAACACCATTAGTTCTCTGAAAGATTCTGAGCTCTTTCTCAGTAGCATCTTGAACGACACCCAACTGGAGGGGACCATTTTATGACACTATATTATCAATCACTGTATCTTGTATGTCCTTGTAGTCTTCTTGGTTCAATTCAGGAGTGTTTCACCATTGCCTTCTTGTGCTCAGTATGAAATGAGGCTTTGCCATTTTCACTGAAGTAATCATCTACTTTCAGCACCTTCCCTATATTGCTGCGGTCTGAGATAGGTGCCTACTTTCAGGACTTCAATGACCCTGCTGGTATTAAATTACTGGTATTATAACCTCTTAGCATACACTCCTGGTGTTACTAATAAAAGAGGATATTTGTAGCTCAGGGTTGACATGAGGGGTCCTTGGTGCTCTCTGAACTTGGTTGTTTTCTTGCCAACAATATACTGTTTATAAAATCCAGGTCAGTCTCCAACTGAGTGTTTTAGATTTTGCTGATCAATTGGTTCTTTTTATTTCCCTTACCTATCCCACCCATATAATTCAGGTAACTATTCAGGCCTGCTAAATTTGCATGACTGAATCTGATGGCTGAATCTCATCTTTTATTCTTTAAATATCTGTTCTAAAAATGCAGCCTTCAAGATAATAGCGCACTGCTCTGCTTAGATGAGGTGTGTCTAACCCGCAGCCCACAGGCTGCATGTAGACCTGGATAGCTAGTAATGCTACATAGATTTATACATTGACTATATTATACTGTATATACGCCTCAACCACTGTACAAATTGGAGACACCTCCAGGGTTTTGAGGCAAAACATCCTTGACTCTCTGAGAAAGGAATGTTATTTTGACTACATACTACATATCACCCATACTCTGCAATCGAGTGAAGACAATTCCTCTTCACTCAATGCGACCCCAGCAAACCAAAAGTTCAGACACCCATAATTTAGACAGGCTATTTTTGATCTGGATCAGTTTCACATCTAATATACTTTCAAGTCTGTTTTGTCACATTTTTTTGCAAAATTTAAACATTTTTTGTATTTATCAAAAGTAAATTCCAGCAGTGGAATATGAGTATCTTGAAACTCAAAAAAAAAAAAAAAAAAAAAGTGGTGTTATTAGCTATCAAACCTCAAAAATACACTTTTCCCAAAAGGTTTCCACAATTTTGGCCACTACTGTACAGTATATCTGGCAATATATTTCTTTCTGCTTCTATCTGCTGGGGGTGTAGTGGTCTCACTGTCATTTGAAGAGGCATTCAAATCAGTGATGGGTTGCCCCCGGTTCGCTCCGGTTCCATAGAACCTGTAGTAAAACTAGAAGAAGGCTCCGCCCACTGACTGTGACATCATCAAAATGCTTCTGCGCTTGTGCAGAAGAGTGTGTGCATGTGCGAGCGAAGCGAGCGCGCACGTGCGGCCCCGCTACGAACTGGTAATAAAGGTAAATAGAACCCACCCCAGTTCAAATCGTACTCCAACAATGCAATACAATGTATGCAAAAAAGGAGGAAAAAGTTAATCCCTGATATTCTTGACTAGGGCTAGTGGGGGCGGGGGGTGGAGGGAATCCAGGTATTAATTTCTACAGAGCAACTGTTAATTGATGCTAACAGTACTGAGTTAGATATGTGACTTAGTACATAAATCAGGTTCTCAAGCCCCTTTAATTATCTACTCAACAGGAGTGCAGTGGTTCACAGAGTTAGGACGCCGAGCTGATGATTGGCTGGCTCACGTTCAAGACCTGGTTGCTGCCCTGTATCGGGGTGAGTTCCTGTCACTCGCTGCAGCTCCTGCTGGCCCAGCAGTTCAAAAGCAGGTGACTGTGAGTAGATAAATGGGTACCCCTTTGGTGGGCAACCTAATGGGGACATGAAAAGACACACACACACACCCAACTAGGCATCCCCTGGGCAACTGTGATTTCACCGGTTAATCTTTCAACCTGGAAGTGCTTTGCTGCTCTCAGCACAAGAACAGCAACTTCTAATCAATGCCCTTAAATCCATACCCTTCCCTACCTCTCCTCTCTGAACCTGGCTTTGAAAAAAAGCTAACTCCCGCCATAAATAGAGCCAGAGTTGGTGAATTCTTGTATGGGACACCTCCAGGAAATCTGAGTTCAGAAAACCCCCAAAGAAGAGAATAGTTAACCAAAGGACACTTATGCATTGTTGCTAGGAAAACTGCCATGCCAAAAAAAGTTTTCCATCGGGGTTTAACAATATGGAGCCCTACGGCGAAGCATCTTTCAGCCTAGTTCCATACAGGAACTTGGATTGCTTTGTGATTCTCTCAACAATCATTCACTTCAGCTCCCTGATGCGAGATACCTGTTCAGTCCATGCAACCTGCTGCTTTAGAAATGAGAGTGAAGAGTGTCAAAAAGATTTAAAAAGGGGGGATATCACAGGCAGAACGTGAATCCTGCCCACAGTACAGTCTGCAAGAAATTATCCCTAAGAGGGACAGCAAATGGAAATTCACCTCCGTGCTGATCTTAGCTCTTGGAGATACCCTTCTGGAAGCTAAGAAGCTAAGGAATATTATAAAAGGCAATTGCCTTCCCCGTAAAACAAGACAATATCTTCTAAAGCTTAACATGACATTTAGGTTCGTTGTTAGTCATTAGCAGGGGTGGGCTTCAAATATTTTAGCAAGGGCTTCTCTGCCCGGTTGCTGGGGTGGCCGTGGCTATGGTGGGTGTGGCCTAGTTGGCCTCCTACACCTTGGGGGGGGGTTGTTTTGCCCTCCCTGGGCTCTGGGGGCTTTCCTCGAGCCTCTGGGAGGGCGAAAACGGCCTCCTCAGGCTCTGGAGGCCCTCTGGAGGCCGGAAATGATCCTGTTTCCAGCCTTCCCAAACTTCTGGTAGGTCCGTTTTTCACTCTCCTCGAGTCTCCATGCATGCCCTGCACATACCTACATCCAAAACAGGCCGTGTGGGGACTCCTCAGAAGGGAGGGGCGGGGCGGGGCGGGGTAGGTGGAGCCAGCCAAGAGTGGGATTTGGGGGTTCTTCAAACTGCACAGAATCTTAGTTAGAGGTTCTCCCGAACCCCTGCGAACCCCCAGCAGCCCACCCCTGGTCATTAGATTTATATCCCACTTTCCTTGGCCAAGCTCAGGATAGGTCATAAGCCAGGCTCAGAGAGAGTTGATAACCTCACAACATCCCAGGAACTTCTGTTACTCCACAAGTATCTGCAGAAGCATGTCAAAAGCCAAGACTGTGGCTGCAATGGTGCAACCCTAGCGTGGTACATGGAACCCCACTTTTATCTGCTTCTGGGCACAATTGAAGGTATTGGCTATCACTATTAAAGCCCTTTAAGTTATGGGTCCAGAATTTCTGAGGAACCATTGTGTTCCAATGGGATTGCCCTGCCCCACTTGCTCCAGCAGAAAGGGCCTAGGAATTTCAGCCAGCAGGGTCTAAGAGAAGAGCCTTTCCCGCTCTTCTTTGGAACACCTTGCTGGAGGAGAGGTCTACCCCCAAACTTTTGGTTTTCCAAAGGAACCTTAAGACTTGCCTCTGACAGTTGAGATGGGACCCTGATGGAGATGCTTTACGCTGGAGGTGCTTGGTGGAGTGACAGGGAAAGGACTACCTGGCTTTTTAGTCTAATTTGAGTCCTCTGTAATTCTAATTGTTCTTGTATTTGCTATTTTTATTACTTTTGTAAGCTACCCATTGGCTTTGGATAGCGAGATGGGCAGCAAATAAATTTAATAGATAAATAATAAATGCATCTATTATTTATTTATTTATTTAATGAATAATATGATTTATTATTTATATGTACAACAAATAAATAATAAATGTATTTTTTATGAGCATCACACACCGAGGCTTCGACCACACCATTGTAGATGACATCTTTTACCATACCTGTAGATCAGGGGTGGGTTCCACATACTTTACTTTACTTTCGCAGTGGGAATCTGCATGCGCCTCCCGCCGGTTTTACTACCGGTTCTATAGAACCGGACAGAACCGGGAGCAACCCACCACTGCTGTAGATACCTCTCTATATAGCTGAATCTAGATTTAAATCTGAATCCCCACAGTCCATGTCCAACACCTTAGCCTCTATATAGCAAAGGACTGCTTTCAAATACAAGGTCAATATTTTGGCCATGTATATTTAATAATGTTTTTTTCATTAGCCCCAGATCCAAAACAGAAAAAAGAAAGAAAGATATGCAGTTACTTCTAAGCACTTTCCTTATTGTTCCTCACCTACAGACAGAAATCTTGCCAAACTAAAGCAATTACTTGCATCACTACAGATAATTCTCTTATAACATCTAAGGAGGACTGGTCTTAGCTCTCTTCCTTCCAGTCAAACTGTCTGCACTTCACTGTTTCTTGGGTCTCTGGAATGCAGCCCCTCCCTGCTGGGAATCCAGACTACATTCCACCACAATCATGTATGGAGATTCTCAAGTCAGCCAGGTCATGGTTGTCCCAAAGGTACTTTTTTCAAAAGGCAACTGGACTTTCTTTTGTTTTTCCTTGAAGACCTTTTGCTTCTCACCCAAGAAGGAGCCTTGGTAGTACAGTGGTTTACATGTGGTTTAATGCACCCTGTAATTAACACAGCTGCCTGCAATTTCTGCAGGTTCAAATCTTACCAGGCTCAAGGTTGACTCAGCCTTCCATCCTTTCTAAGGTAGGTTAAATGAGGACCCAGTTTGTGGGGGCAATAAGCTGACTTTGTATAAATATACAAAAGTATGAAGGCTATTGCTTAACGCATTGTAAGCTGCCCTGAGTCTCCGGAGAAGGGCGGCATATAAATCAATTTTTTTAAAAAAAAGCTTCCTCAGTTCCGAAGGAGAAGCTTCTTGGATGAGAAGCGAAACGTCTCCAAGGAAAAAACAAAGAAAGCCAAGTTGCCTTTTGAAAAAGTACTTTTAGGTTCCATCACAATCAGATTTTCATTCTTTCTCCACGGATGATCCAAATAGATGACCAAACCAAAAGTGAATAGCTCCTATCTATTTTTACTCTCCACAGGATTTCCTTCTCTGAGCATTAAGAAGTAATGTAATTCTAATGTAGCACTAAAAGCAGAGTTCACATGTTATGCTAAGATATAATGTGGTTTATTTGGTTTTAGCTTAGTGTCCCATGCATGCCTCCCATTACTAGATAGAGTGTGATTAAATAATCTACTACTTAATATAATGCCAGCCATAAAATTTTGGTATCCCATTGCAATATCCTGTGGCATTTTCCATATTTCATTACCTCCAGCAGCCATTTTCCACTACTCCATTAGCAAATTCCATAATATACTAGAATATTTGAGAACTGATGTGTATCTATAAATAAAGCCTTTTAAAAAAAAAAAGAAGAAGAAGCTTTAAAAAAGAAGAGTGGAATGGGGGAGGAGACGAAGCTCCAGGAGAAGTGCATGAAAATACAAGTAATTCTGAGGGAAAGGGAAGGCAAAGTTGGGTGGAACTGAATTCCTGGATGAAGGAAACAAAAGGAGCAGCCATCTTGCCTCCAAGCAAAGTCTCAAGTGAATGAATTCCACTGCAGGCAAGGTTTTGATGAGACGAACTTGGTGACAGTGCTCTCTGCTTTACATAAGGATGGAGGGGGAGAGAACTGACAGCTCCAACATCTTCTGAGCCCTAGGGCAGTCTTATCCAGAAAGCAGAAAACAAGTTGTCAGTCCCACAAAAGCAACACAAACGGAAATATAGCAAGCGGGGAGCTGGAGGTTGAGAGAGAATAAGAAAAGCAAAGCAAAGGGCCAAGGTACTCTGCATGGACTCATCCCCTCAATGCCAAGTGCTGTTGGCTAATTAATTGGCCTTAGTCTACCACAAGATAAGTTTAGAAATACATTTATTTCTGAGAATGCCTCTCCTTCCCTTTCCCTCTATCAACCTCTCTCCGCGAGTGCTGCAGGCAGAAGGATGGGAGATCAGAAATCAGAATCAGAACTGAGCTGGAAGGGACTTCGGAGGTCTTCTAGTCCAGCCCTCTGCTCAAGCAGGAGATCCTATACCATTTCAGACAAGTGGCTGTCCAGTCTCTTAAAAACCTCCAGTGATGAAGCACCCACAATGTCTGAAGACAAGCTGTTCCACTGGTTAATTGTCCTCACTGTTAGGAAGTTTCTCCTTAATTCCAGGTTGCTTCTCTCCTTGATTAGTTTCCATCCATTGTTTCTTGTCTTCTCTTCTGGTGTTTTGGAAAATAAGTTGCCTCCCTCTTCTCTGTGGCAGGCCCTCAAATACTGGATTACTGCTATCATGTCCACCCCTGGTCCTTCTCTTCTCTAGACTGGCCGTACCCAAATCCAGCAACCGTTCTTCATATGTTTTAGTCTCCAGGCCTTTAATCATCTTAGTTGTTCTTCTCTGCATTTTTTCCAAAGTACAAAATCCATCAAAATCAAATCCATCTTTGGTAAGAGCTGCAACCCGTTTTCTGAATGGAGGCTAGTTTTAATGCTCGTAACTCATAACTGAATATACAAGGTAGTCCTCAATTTATAACCATTCATTAGTGACAATGAATGCAACAGCATCAAAAAAGGCTGGTCTTCATACTTACGACAGTTGTAGCATCCCCATGGTCACCTGAACAAAATTCAGGTGCTTGGCAACTAGCACTTGTTTACAATGGTTGTACCACCCTGGGGTCATGTGACTGCCACATGCAAAGTCAATGGGGGAAACTGGATTTGCTTAACAGCTGCATGATTCACTTGACAAGTGTGGTGATTCATTTAACAACCTGTTGTGGCCTGTCAGCAGCCTGTGAAGCTAGTAGCTGATTCCGACAGCGAGAAGGCTGGTGTGGTGCTGCGCCAGCAGCCTGGGCAGCTGGCACTCGAGTCAGACAATGAGGAGGCTGGAGAAGATGTGGTGCCAGAGGCGGGGATTCAGCCAGGGCCTTCAGAACCTCCAGAAGCTCCTTTAAGTGAAGAGGAAGAAGAGGAGGAGCCTCTTCTCAATGCACGGGCGCACAGAGCTGCCAAAAGGCAGGAGTGGCTCCTCAGGAGGAGGTCTCCTCGAGAGTAAGGCTTGGGGCTAATTGGCCACTCCCTTAGCCTATTTAAGGAAGGACAACGACTGAAGCAATTTGCAGGGAACAACTATGTTCACTCTCTTTTGCGTCTGGATCTTAGTTCTCTTATCAGTTTCCTGCAAATTGCTTCTGGGCTTTCTGCCAACCATAGTAAGATTACGATTATTTATTCTTTGGATTCTTGTAGGCTGTTAAGAAAGTTAATTAATAGCCTTTGTTTTAAAAAGACTGATTTAATTTAGTAAACTAAGGTTTGTACAGACTTTGTGTGTGCTGCGTTCTTTGAGGTCCATAGCTGGGGCAGAACACAACCACGGCAAAAAAGGTTGCAAAGTTGGGCGTGACTCACTTAATAAGGGCAATGAAAATTCTGGTCCCAACTGTGATCATAACTCCAGGACTACATCTAACCTGGGTTTGTGCCACTTAGAATAACAGAGTTGGAAGGGACTTTGGAGGTCTTTTAGTCCAACCCCCTGCTTAGGCAGGAAACCCTACCCCACTTCAGACAAATGGTTATCCAACATCTTCTTTAAAATTTCCAGTATTGAAGCACTCATAACTTCTGGAGGCAAGTTGTTCCACTGATTAAATGTTCTAACTGTCAGGAAATTTCTCCTTAGTTCTAGGTTGCTTCTCTCCTTGATTAGTTTCCACCCATTGCTTCTTGTCCTGCCCTCAGGTGCTTTGGAGAATAGCTTGACTCCCTCTTCTTTGTGGCAGCCCCTGAGATATTGGAACACTGCTATCATGTCTCCCCTAGTCCTTCTTTTCCTTTAAACTAGACATACCCAGTTCCTGCAACCGTTTTTCATATGTTTGAGCCTCCAGTCCCCTCATCATCTTGGTTGCTCTTCTCTGCACTCTTTCTAGAGACTCCACATCTTTTATACATTATGGCAACCAAAACTGGATGCAGTATTCCAAATGTGGCCTTACCAAGGCATTATAAAGTGGTATTAACACTTCATGTAATCTTGATTCTATCCCTCTGTTTATGCAGCCTAGAACTGTTGGCTTTTTTGGCAGCTGCTGCACACTGCTGGCTCATATTTAAATGGTTGTCCACTAGGACACCAAGATCCTTCTCACTTAGCCAGCCAACAGCTGATGTCTCCTTTAGAGCTGGGATAGAGATTTAATGCCAAAATTTACCTGCCACCCTTAGGAAGGTTGGATATCTACAATGGCTACTACAATCACAATCTGCTCCAAATATGTCCACTGACTGTACTTGCCACCAGTAACATATTTTCACTGTGTTAAAGTCACCTCCGCTAACATGCTATTATCAGTCTATGTTCCTCTTTGTATCACACTTTAACCTCTCAGTGTCTCATTATATAGTGCTGGTTAAAAGCACAAATGCCATGAAAGATAATTCTCTGCCCATCTGAGAAAATTTCATTGCCTGGGGAAAACCACTGTGTAGGTTAAGCCACTGCCAGAAAAGCAGAGCTGTGGAAGATGTTCCTATCCTTCTCACTGTAATCACAGTGATGTCCCTAATCGCTGTAATCATTGATTAATTAATAATTCATCCATCCATCTATCCATTTTATAAGTTGTATTTCTATGTAGGTGAATACTCAACTCCATATGGTTTAGGGCTAGATATGTGTGACATTTTAGGGACACTGGGAAAATAATGGAAGGAGGATAGACATGAACTCTCAAAGAGAATTGTTAGCAGGTTATCTGATAAAGGGAAGCTCAGTCCTGATCTGTGTTTTTCAACCTTAGCAATTTTAAGATGGCCGACTTCTGCTTCAGAAAAGGGAAAAAAGGTGGAGAAAAGGTGGAGAAAACATGAAGGAAATGTGAAGGTGAAGATAAGGAAGAGGAGAGGAGAGGAGAGGGAAGGGGAGGGGGGACTGGAGGAGAAGAAGGGAAGGGGGAGGGGATTGAAGGGAGAGGGAGGGTGGGGTGGGTGGGGAGGGGAGGGGGGATTGGAGGAGAAGAGGGGAGAGGAGAAGGGAGGGGATTGGAGGAGAGGAGGGGAGAGGAGGAGAGGGGATTGAAGGGGAAGAGAGGGGATTGGAGGAGGGGAGGGGGAGGGGAGTGGAGGGGAGGAGGAAAGGAAAGGAAAGGAAAGGAAAGGAAAGGAAGCCTGAGATAGTATTTTCTTTGCAGCCTGAGAAATGTTACTGAGGTGAATTAAAAGGTTATTTATAGAAAAATAAAAATTGATTAAACAAATTGGCACTTTCATTTCAGTTTCTCAGGATTTACCAGCATCCTTAATTTCTTTTCCCTACATCTCTCTCTTGCTTTGTTTGCCAGGCTAATTCCTGTGTCTTCCTGTGTTGTCTTTTAAATTCAGGCCCAACCCTTTTCCAAGACTATGATTAAAACTGACATGAGACATCAAGTCAGACTGTTGGGCAGACTCCAGGAAAACCTTCTCCAGTCATGCCAGCTCAGGTTCATTTCATCAGAGGGACCAGGAGCTGAACCTAGGTGAGAGGCTTTTGCTGGCCTTAACTAAAAAACTAAATGCCTTTCTGGGAATAAATGAAAGTTGTGCTGAATGCTCAGTGAGTATTTTTTACTATAAGAACTAGGAAAGTTATTAACCAAGTAAAAGGTAAAAGTAAAGGTTCCCCTCACACATATGTGCTAGTCGTTCCTGACTCTAGGGGGCAGTGCTCATCTCTGTTTCAAAGCCGAAGAGCCAGCACTGTCCGAAGATGTCTCCGTGGTCATGTGGCTGGCATGACTAAATGCCAAAGGCGCACAGAACGCTGTTACCTTCCCACCAAAGGGGGTCCCTATTTTTCTACTTGCATTTTTTATGTGCTTTTGAACTGCTATGTTGGCAGAAGCTGGGACAAGTAACGGGAGCTCACCCCGTTATGCGGCACTAGGGATTCGAGCCACTGAACTGCCGACCTTTCAATCGACAAGCTCAGCGTCTTAGCCATTGAGTCACCACTAATGTTTCCAACCCAGAGAATAACTAACTTCATCCTTTCTCTTAATAGCACTTAGACTTATATACCGCTTCATAGTGCTTTACAACCCTCTCTAAGCGGCTTACAGAATCAGCATATTGCCCCCAACAATCTGGGTCCTCATTTTACTGACCTCGGAAGGATGGAAGGCTGAGTCAGCCTTGAGCTGGTGAGACTTGAACTACTGACTGCTGGCAGTCGGCAGTCAGCAGAAGTAGCCTGCAGTACTGCACTCTAACCACTGAGCCACCGTGGCTCATATTCCCAATAATGAGACCATAACACATTGTGTCTTGTACCCACCCTCCTTCCTAGATAAGCAGCAGAGAAAAATGATATCCATGCAAGAGGTAGGCTATTGTTATAATAAGCACCAAATTTAAAATCGTAGCTCAGAACTAATTTTTCCTTTTTAAAAAAATTAAGACAATCTGTACTTCAGCAAGAGGAAAACATGTTGTTTTAGCTTGGCTAGCAAGATATGTATCTCATCATAAAGGCTTGTTAAGTCTCTCCGTCAATGTTACTAGTGAGCCAGAGATCTCGGGAATTCGGAGAAAAGCAGATTTAAATTTCCGTGATGTTAGCAAAGCAGGCATGTGATTATTATTAGCAGAAAGTACTGCCAACCGCTCCAACAGATGACATTGTCCCTTTGTGAGTATGGATTGCAAGTATTCACGCCATATCTATCCCAAGGCTATCAATTATTGTGATTTTAATGCTAGTCTTACAACTTTGTTTTTCCAAACTCTCACATTGAGATTGGGGCCAAGCCAACATTTACCCAGACACTTGCTTTTTATTTTCAATTTTGTCTGAAAAGAAACACTGTTTTTTTTCCCAACTTATCACTGGTACCTCACCTGACACATGTTTTTAAAAAGACCTTGGGCTCCGTGGATATTTCCATAACTTCATTCTTGCAAACACCAGTTGGCTGCATTCTTATTGGCCCCAGGGCAGGACTCAATCCTCTTAACCAATTGCTAAAATTAAGAGGATGTAGTTTCTTTGCTCTCGCACATTAACAATTTCTGAGGAACATACCATGAAAAAGAGGAGAAGGCTCCCACTGGGTCACAAAGGTTCGTCTATCCAACATACAGTGATACCTTGGTACTCAACTGCTTTGAAACTCATCCAATTTGGTATTCAAAACATGCATTTTGTTCCGGTATTCATTATTTGTTGATATTCAACACACAGGCTCGAATGTGTCGGTGTCAGCTGTCTTGTGACTCACTACATTATTCCTTATGGGAAAAATTTGTTTGGTACTCATCGTTTTTGATTCTCATTGCACCTCCTGGAACCAATTAACAATGAGTAACGAGTTACCACTGCGCTTCATCCTGTTCTAATCAAACCAATATTGTCTCACCAAGAAGATACACTACAAGGCTGCATCTCACCAGTGTTGGTCATCTATAACTGATTTTCAATGGCAGCTTGCATTATATCCTTGTTTATTGGACCCGTGTCCTTCCTGGTTAGTACTGGCTTCCCGGGAAGTGACACGAGGCTGGCTCCAGGGGATTATAAACGCTTCGCTGAGTGAGGGTGACTTTCCCGCCGCCTTGAAAGAGGCGGTGGTGAGGCCTCTCCTCAAGAAGCTTTCCCTGGACCCGGCAATGTTGGTAAATTATCGTCCGGTCTCCAACCTTCGCTTTGTTGCGAAGGTTGTTGAGAGTGTGGTCGCGCAACAGCTCCCCCAGCACCTGGATGAAACGACGTATCTGGATCCGTTCCAGTCGGGCTTCAGGCCCGGGTACAGCACGGAAACGGCATTGGTCGCGTTGGTTGATGATCTCTGGAGGGCTCGGGACAGGGGGTGCTCCTCTGTCCTGGTCCTGTTAGATCTCTCAGCGGCTTTTGATACCATCGACCATGGTATCATGCTGCACTGGTTGGAAGAGTTGGGGGTGGGAGGCACTGTGTTGCGGTGGTTCTCCTCCTTTCTCTCTGACCGGTCGCAGTCTGTGTTGACAGGGGGACAGAGGTCAACCCCGAGGCCCTTCATATGTGGGGTGCCGCAAGGGTCGGTCCTCTCGCCTCTCCTGTTCAACATTTATGTGAAGCCGCTGGGCGAGATCATCCGTGGTTTCGGGGTGGAGTACTATCAGTACGCTGATGACACCCAGCTGTACATCTCCACCCCGGATCACCCCAACGATGCCCTTGAAGTGATGTCCCGGTGCCTGGAGGCCGTACGGATCTGGATGGGGAGGAACAGGCTCAGGCTCAACCCATCCAAGACTGAGTGGCTGTGGTTTCTGACGTCCCGTTATAGTCAGTTGACGCCATCACTGACTATTGGGGGTGAATCATTGGCCCCCACGGAGAGGGCTCGCAACTTGGGCGTCCTCCTGGATTCACGGCTGTCTTTAGAAGAGCACTTGACGGCCGTGACCGGGAGGATTTTTCATCAGGTTCGCCTGATTCGCCAGTTGCGTCCCTTTCTGGATCGGGACTCGTTATGCACGGTCACTCATGCCCTTGTCACCTCCCGCCTGGACTATTGCAACGCTCTCTACATGGGGCTCCCCTTGAGGAGCACCCGGAGGCTCCAACTGGCGCAGAGTGCGGCCGCGCGGGTGGTAATGGGAGCGACATGGCGTTCCCATGTAACACCCCTCTTGCACGAGCTGCACTGGCTCCCGGTGGTCTTCCGGGTGCGCTTCAAGGTTCTGGTTACCACCTTTAAAGCGCTCCATGGCTTAGGACCCGGGTACTTGCGGGACCGCCTACTACCACCAATAGCCTCCCACCGGCCGGTACGCTCCCATAGAGAGGGGCTCCTCCGGGTGCCGTCAGCCAAACAATGCCGACTGGCGGCCCCCAGGGGGAGAGCCTTCTCTGTGGGGGCACCTACTATCTGGAACGAGCTCCCCCCAGAGATACGGAGGATCCCGGATCTGCGCACCTTCCACCGCGCCTTAAAGACCTTACTATTTCACCAGGCCGGCCTGGCCTAATTTTCCCCCTCTTTTATAAAAGATTTTTAAAATTTTAAATATCTTTTAGTATTTTATATATTCAATTTTAAATTGGTTTTAAAAGTTTGGGGTTTTAAATTTGTCGGGGCCAAAATTATTTAATTTGATTTTATTCTATTTTTAAATTTTGTATTGTATGTGTTTTTATTGTTTGGCTGTGCACCGCCCTGAGTCCTTCGGGAGTAGGGCGGTATAGAAATCTAATAAAATAAATAAATAAATAAATAAATATCCAACATTTAGTTCTCATGGCTGATAAACATTCATAGATTAAAGTAAAGGTTCCCCTCGCACATATGTGCTAGTCATTCATGACTCTAAGGCTCATCTCCATTTCAAAGCCGAAGAGCCAGCGCTGACCAAAGATGTCTCCGTGGTCATGTGGCCAGCATGACTAAATGCCAAAGGCGCATAGAACGCTGTTACCTTCCCACCAAAGGTGGTCCCTATTTTTCTACTTGCATTTTTTATGTGCTTTCAAACTGCTAGGTTGGCAGAAACTGGGACAAGTAATGGGAGCTCACACCGTTACGCGGCACTAGGGATTCGAATTGCTGAACTGCCGACCTTTCAATCGACAAGCTCAGCGTCTTAGCCATTGAGTCACCATGTCCCACATAGATTGCCTCCTCCCAAATGAATATACACATGGTCCTCAACTTACAACCAATTGGGACCGGGAAATTTGTTATTAAGTGGTGTGCTTAAGCAAGACATCATGTGACAACAACTTATGACTTTCCCTGGTGGCTTCCCCATTGACTTTGCTTGTCAGAAGCTTTCTGGGAAGATCTCAAATGGCAACCACATGACTGCTGGATGTTGCAATTGTTGTTAGTGTAAGTTGGTTGCCACACACCAAATTGTGATCACATGACCCCAGGGAAACCATGCCAGGTAAGTTTGAAGACCAGTCGTAAGTCACTTTTTTCAGCATCGTTGGAATTTATAATGGTCCCTAAATTAATGGTCGTAGGTTGAGGACCACCTGTATCTCATTTATTTTTGGAGTCTCCCATCCAGGTGACTATGGACACTTCTTCCTGAATGTTTCAGTTCATCATGTCCATCAATCAACATCCCACAATGTTCCCTTTAAAGCAGGGGGTCTCCAACCTTGGCAACTTTAAGACATGTGAACTTCAACTCCCAGCTGGCTGAGGAAATCTGGGAGTTGAAGTCCACAAGTCTTAAAGTTGCCAAGGTTGGAGACCCCCTGCTTTAAAGCATCATAGTTTTGGGTAGATTAGCACCATGTTAAATTTACCGGTTTGCAAAAATACCCTGGAAATAACTCTTGAGGTTGACTCATTAACGCCTGGAGCAAAAACAGACGTCTTTGTCTCATAGTGTTTTTTTTTTCCCCAGACTGGTTTAAGTGTCCATCTAAGAAGTATCTAACCCAGTACACTCCAAAAGTCACACTTACGTCGCTGAGTCTCTCTCTCGAGCTGCTCCGATGAAAGCCTTTTGATTCTCCGCTTGCACTTTCACTGTCACTGTCTCGGCAGCTGTTTTGGCCTGGATTAAGCTGCAGAACAAAAGTAAGAAATAAAAGTTTACAGTCTGTCTAAGAAAGACATTTAAAGGCATCCCTTCTAGCCTGGCAATAAAGCACAATGGTCGCGCTATCAAACCGTCTCTTGGTTTGGACCCAGTAAATTTTGTTGCCTAAGGCAAAAGGCGAAATAGCATCCATTCAGAGATGTTAATTGAAACTTTTCTTTCAACTTTAATAATGATAAACTATTACCCAGCAATTTGAGCATAATTTGGGGGTGAAGGGAAGGTTACGTGGCAGACTCAAATCTATCCACTCCGTCTGAGATACCTGTGATTCCAAAACCATTTGCACTATTCAGGTGACCCTGAAGGCACAGATAAACCTCCAAGTGGCCTCAGCATCCCTCAGAGGAGTGCTAATGACCAGATGACTGCAAGGAATATAAACAGCAATAGCACTTAGACTTTTTTACAGTGCTTTACCACATTCTCTAAGTGGTTTACAGAGTCAGCCTATTGCCCCCAACAATCTGGGTCCTCATTTTACCCACCTTGGAAGGATGGAAGGCTGAGTCAACCTTGAGCCTGGTGAGATTTGAACTGCCAAATTGAGGGCAGCCGGCAGTCAGCAGAGGTAGCCTGCAGTACTGCACTCTAACCACTGCACCACCGTGGCTCATGGTCCTTCCATTCTCCACTGAAGAAGCTTATTGGATGAGAAGCAAAATGTCTTCAAGGAAAAAAAAAGGAAGTCCAGTTGCCTTTTGAAAAAGCACCTTTGGGACAACCAAGACCTGGATGACTGAGAATCTCCACAGACCTGTGGCCCTCTTGCTCCCTGATACACCAGCCTTGGACTTCGGCAAGTGTGACTGAGCACATGGAACTAAATTCTGATAGTCCACTTTTGTATTTATCCATACTAAACTCTGAAGAAATGTTGCCTCGTTCTTGTCATATAATTCCCCTCCATCTAAGGACCAAATGGTGGCTGGTGCCAACAAACAAAAGGAAGCATAAACATCTTCATTTCTGATAATGTTCCTGAAGTCTTAAACAGCTCTTTCTCATCGCAAATTTTGTACCCCATAGAAACCTTGGATAACGTTAATCAACTGCTCGACAGGAAATTAGAAAAACTGCAATTTAGTGATCACGTATGTGCTCTGTACACAGGAACATTCATATTTAATTGTTGGGATTTCGAGAAAATGCAGGAAAAACTCTTGCCAGGAAGTCTGATAATCCACCGCCAGATATTATAGACAACCCTGGACTGGATAGCCCATTGTGATCTACGTTCTTTCATAAAGGATTTTGTGATTCAAAGGGTGGGATGCAATCAGAAGCTAAATGCCACTGAATTCAGTGCAATATCCAAGGAGAAAGGTATTGGGTTGCATTTTTCATCGTGGATGAAAAGCTACCTGGGTAGTCACTAAAGAGTCGACAATGACTTGATGGTATGTAATCATCATCATCACACTAGGGAACATAACATATCTGGGAGTATTTCATTTTGGGTACCTGTTCACAGCTTCGATCATGCTTTGAAATGATGACTCAAAGTTGTAACAAAGAAAGCACCTCCACCCCCAAATACAAATACATGCCCTATAACAGGGGTGTCAAGGCCCGCAGGGCCAGATCTGGCCCACGGGGTGCTTAGATCTGGCCTGCGGGGCCACCCTGGAAACAGCAGAGGACCGGCCCGTGGTGCCTCTGCCAGCAAAAATGGAGCTTGGGAAGGCCACGGATGGCCCTCCCGAGCTCTATTTTTGCTGGCAGAGGGTTGCAGGAAGCTGTCGCAGCCGAAAATGGAGCTTGGGAGCCTGTTTTCACTGGCAGAGTACTTGGGCCACCACAGGTGCCCCCGACACGAGTGACATTGAGCTGGCCACATGCACCTTGGCCAAGCCTGGCACACCCACCCTGTCTATGCCCACCCCGGCCCCCCAAGGTCAAACACAACCCTGATGCGGCCTTCAATGAAATTGAGTTTGACACCCCTGCCCTCTAGTATAAATTGCTCAGATTTACTTAACAGATTCTCCATCAACCAGCCGATTTTGATTCTGTGACCCTACATTAGAATGATCTCGTACAGAAGCAAGCTTCTTCATAATACACCCACAAACGATCTGACATTTTGCCATTCAGCTAATTGCGAACAAATAAATAGACAGATGGATACTTCACCACCAAGTTATAGACAGTAAATATTATTTCAATCTACTAGTCCCTGACCACAATGGAAATTAAACATACAAACCACCCATTCATATGCAATTATTTCTTCACCACTACAGTAATCTGGGTTTTTAAGCTTTCCAAATATACTCAGAGACCCTGCTTTCTTTCTAATGTGACTGGCTAAAATAGCTATGCACACACTTTAAGCATACGCAAGTATAATCAGGTAGAGACTTCCAGAGAAATAGGACAAACTGAAGATGTCTCTGTAAAGGCAGAGCTGATGTCCATGGTGAAGACTAAGGAACCAGTGACTGGTTACTTGGAACCTCTCTGGATAAAGAGAGGAGAGGAGGTTGCCCACATATACTCTGAAGAACTGCACTTTTCTAGGAGACCAAAAGACAATAATTTTCCATAGGTTTGAGTGCTGGCAGACAACAGGATCAGCAATCTTGTGAACAACCTTGATGAAGCCTTTTAAAGAAGTGGTTCCCAACCTTTGGGGCACCAGGGACCAGTTCCATGGGGGAAAAAAAATTCATGGATTGGGAGGGGGGGCATTGTTTCAAAGATGATGGTTTATTTTGAAGATACTAGCATATCAAAAAGGGATGGGGTAGCTCAGTGGCTAAGAAAAATAGGGACCACCTTTGGTGGGAAGGTAACAGCGTTCTGTGCACCTTTGGCGTTTGGTCATGCTGACCACATGACCATAGCCTGACTAGGTGGCCCAGTGGCTAAGACACTGAGCTTGTCAATCAGAAAGGTTGGCAGTTAGCAGTTCGAATCCCTAGTACAGGTCTCCTGCGTGAGCAGGGGGTTGGACTAGATGACCTCCAAGGTCCCTTCCAACTCTGTTACTGTTACTGTTTACTGTTATCACGGAGACGTTTTCAGGCAGTGCTGGCTCTTTGGCATTGAAATGGAGATGAGCACTGCCCCCTAGAGTCGGGAACAACTAGCACATATGTGCGAGGGGAACCTTTACCTTTACCTTACTAGTCTATCATTCATTTTTTTAAATTAGAAGAATGTTAACCGGCTCAAGGTTGACTCAGCCTTCCATCCTTCCGAGGTGGGTAAAATGAGGACCCAGATGGTTGGGGGCCATATGCCGACTCTGTAAACCGCCTAGAGAGGGCTATAAAAGCACTATGAAGTGGTATATAAGTGCTATTGCTATTGCTAAAAGCCAGTTAGTAAGAAGCTGTCCATGGTCCTGAATTCCATGACTTCTATTTAAGAGGTTAGGATAATTAATAAGAGGCATAAATGTCCTTTAACTGCAACAATTAAAAGACATGTCCTTGACATGTCTTTTAACATCTAAGAAATGTTTCTCATGGAACATACAGTAGCTTTCAAGTCTGAAAACATAAAGAGATTTTATAAATTGGAGAGCTGCCACAAAGAAGACATACTTCCTATACATCATCAGTGATATTTCCAATCATATATGACATACATCTACTATCATTAAAAAGTGTCTGACAGTAAATTCAGAAAATTGTTGTGTTAAGATTCTTATTTCATTCAGATATATTTAAGGCAGTCATTTGCTGGATAGATGGAGGAACCCTGATTGGCACGGTGGTTCGAATGCAGTATTGCAGTTTAATCCTGCTGACTGCCACAGGTTCGATCCTCACCGGTTCAAGGTTGACTCAGCCTTCCATCCTTCTGAGGTTGGTAAAATGAGGACCCAGATTTTGGGGGGCAGTAGGCTGACTCTGTAAACCACTCAGAGAGAGCTGTAAAGCATTATGGGACGGTATATATGTCTAAGTACTTTTGCTATGATTCAAACACAAAAGGTATACAACAGGAATTTAGTCTGCAATTCTATTAAGATAGCCACTTCTGAATTGAGAAAAATCCTCAGGATGCAGTGGCTACAATATACCATATTGTATATTGTATACATATACCAATATGTAAATATTGTCATAATTTTATTTTGTTTTGGACAGTTAGTAATGCAACCCCATGCAATGTAAATGTTTAACATTATTTAGTGATTTTAGTGATATTTATATAAATTATAATAATAACTTTTATTTGTGGTCACAGACCAAAATACAGATATAATTTATATAAATTAACTATATTATATATTTCATATGCAGCTCAAGACAATTCCTCTTCACTCAATACGGCCCAGGCAAATGAAAAGGTTGACACCCATGTTCTAAAAAGTAGTGGTGGGAACAGAGCAAAATGTAAATTTTATTTCATTTCCATTTAGTTAAAAATCTAGTCAAGAGCTACTACAGTGTTTTTCAAAATTGGCCCTGTTAAGGTATGTGGACATCAACACCCAGTATTCCCTAACCAGCATGAAATCCACACATTTTAAAGGTGACACGTCTGAAAAACATTGACCTAGTTCAATAGAGTTGATATGATTAAATAGGTTATTTTTTCCCTCTTCTTCCCCATTAAAAATGAGAGGCTTTTAAACCATGAGTAGAAGCATCATAAAATACATTTCTTCAGCTTAATCTCTAGGCTTTGGTGATCAGTGTTAAAAGTGCAATTGTTCTTGATTGCTGTTTAATTGCTCCTTGTTGGCATTCCTCAACTTCTGGCCTGATTGATTTAGCACTGTTTTTGTCATTAAGATGCTACATCCCTATTAGGTTCTTGTAAGTCAACCACAAGCTAACTTCTGGAACTTGAATAATTTATATAGGCAGACAGCTAAATGGTGTACAACAGAGTTTTTCAAGTTAATTGTTCAGCCCTCAAAGCCTCATTTATTTCTTGGTCTTATTTTAAGATAAATGTTTATTTGAGGTTGGAAGCCAGGGTTTTTTTTGTTTTTTTTTAGGGGTTACCTGCATGAAACCTACTTTCACATTGTGGTAATTTTCACCTTTCAGGTAACCTTTTGATTATATTATCTAGGGATTCTGGGAGTTATAGTTTTAACATCTGAATATC